GACTCAATGTAGAGCAAAACTTGGGTTCCATAACGTTCAAAGCTTGTTAACACTTTGACAGCACTATTTATCTTGAGCCTTTCCAGTGCAAAAAAGTATGATGTTCACCATGTAGAGGTTATTGTTATGGCATACTTTCTCCATACATAGCCTATTTTTCCTCTATAACTCATTTCATTGTCAAAGCAATTGAATTCAGTGAAACTGCTATGATGGTATTTTTGAATTATATCCTTAGGTGTTTGTTAGTTGTAGCTTCAAAATTTACTCTGGTGAATTTAAAACAAAAACCGTCTTCCAAAGCCCAGAACCACCATCAAGTTGGGAGTTGGAATAGAGAGTGTTTTCCATTGTTATAAAAATAAAAAGAAACAGAAATTTCCAGTTGAAATATCAAGGCCCACTTATTTTTTTGGAAATTATGCTTTGCCAGTTCACAGTTTACTGCTCCAGGAAGATAAAGACTGTTTAGTCAGGGGATGTTTCCTGCTGCTACTGTGTGCTTCATCTTTGGGTCTTTTTTATTCATCTAAGAACTGAAAAATGTTTCCTGAGTTGTCTTTTAGATATAAAAGCTTTCTTTTTCTTTAACAAAAAAAAAAAAAAAAACACCACAAACAAACCTTTGCTCAACTATGGCTAAATGAACCTTTCAAATCTCATTTTGGTTCAACTTGAGCTGAATCTAGCCACATCAAAGATCACTGCACTTCCGCCTGGAAAGGTCCTATCTTACATAAAGGTAACTTACAAAAAAAAAAAAGGTGCTGATCCTGCATGTTGCATCAGCCTTAACTCAATGTAGCATGTCACTGGAGGAAAGACAGCCCTGGGAACAGCCACTTCTGCATTAACACGAGCAATGACAGCTAGCAAGCGCTTGTACAGCCAAAGCCTAGCAAGTGAGTAACACAGGCTAGGGCCTAAAAATGAGCCTCGCAGCCTCCATGCACTTTCACAGATGAAACTCTTCCCTGACTGCTTCTTGTTCTTGCACAACCTGATATAATTCCAGAGCAAGAGTTAATATTGTTAAAGCGCCTGCTGCCAAACAAGAGCATTTATAAAGTTGTGTTTGCTGTTGCTCCTTGATGATTACATGATTCAGCATCTTTCTTACCTGCCATCCCCCAATGCAGCTGCTTCAGCCATTATACTAAGCTAATCTCGCATCCTACTCTATTCAGAGGCCTAAATCACTACTTCTGCCATTTTTTAGAGTCCCTCTGGAATAAGTCACAAGGCAGAGGCTTAATGTTTTTTTTTATTACAGTATGCAAAGAAGATGAGAAGTTCTAATAAAGGAAGTGCCAAGTTCAGCCTCTGTCCTCCCCAGAAGATGGAAGTGATTGCATAAGTAAGTCCCCTCCCCACCCCAAAACTAAGAAGCAGGATTCTAACATATGCTTGATATTTAAGAATTTTCAACTTCCTCTTTTGAAATACTGACACTAAAGGTCTTCATGATTGTTGTTTACCAGTGCATATAGAGCTTTTTCAAATGTTAGCTATTGTTCCCACCAAAGAAAAAAAAAAAGGTAAAATAGAAAAATTATTAATTCCAGTTTCTTGGGGTGAAGGAGGAAAAAGGTGAAGGTTCTGAAATGGCCTTTGGCCACTGGCTGGAGGTGCAGCTGATGGTTAACTTGGGCAGCAGTGGACTGATGCGCTATCGATCAATCAGACAGGGTGTCAAGACCAGATATCCAACCCAGCTCTTCCAGTAAGAGCCTTCTCTGTGAAGTGCAAATTGTTTCAACCAGTTTCTCAACAAGGTGGAGACATATATCTGTTTTTTATTCTACCACTGTGAAATTATTTAAATATTAAAATGGAGCATGCCTATCTCTAGAATTGTAGCTCAATACACTTTTCTATAAAGAGTTGGTGCATAAATAAAAAGACAATAATTCTGGCAGCAAATGAAGCAGTTAACAGCACCAGATAAACAATTCCTACCAGTGAAGTATTACTTGAATGGACTATCTCAGCTACAGTAAAGGAAGTAACTTTGACAACAGGGTAGCAAATTAGTGAAATTCTCATTCACAAAAAAATGCACTATCAATCAACTCTCTCAGGAAACAATTCCCAACTCTGAAATAATTGAAATGGACAGTGAAGGAAGTAGGATGGTGGAGGTTAATTCCCTGGACCATTTTCAGGTTATGGCTCAAATGCCCTGTGGCACTAAATCATTTTCACAACTCTTTTACCATTTTCCAGTATGAGCCATTAGTAAGTGAAAAAGGTGGGCCGAGGGTAAAAAAAAGTCACCTGACTCCCTTTTACCCTACGGGGGTGGGGGGGGGGGAGAAAACAAAAGGGAGAACTGTGTCCAGAAATACTCAAATGAGCTGATGAAAGAATTTGCAGTGTAAGTTCCTTAACCAACTTGTATTACCTTGAAGAAGTTGCTTACCCTCAGTGCTATCCCAATTGTCAAAATAAGCATATTCATATTCCTCCCAGGTTTAGCTGTTTGTAGGACCCTTTGATGAAAAGCTAGATGTGCAACTATTCCCCCATCCCACATGTTCTTGTTCACAGAGGTTTTTTGATGCTAGTTCATGCTTATTAGAAAAGAAAAAAAGCAGAAAGTAAAGAAGTGAGGAGTGTCTTTTATTAAAGCTCATTTCTGAGGTCAACCCACACTTCCCACTGCTGGTTAAAAGACACCTGATACTATTAACTCTGTTTGCTAGAGCCTGCACTAGAGTGTTTTAATACAGTATGAAACATTTAGTTGTCTTCTTGCCAATATCAGTATCTAACAATTCATAACACAAGCAATCTGGGATATTCTAATTACATTAATATCATTCTTATTTCAATTGCCTGTTTATCAGTGCAAACAAAAAATTCTTTCCTCCATCTTTTCACTTAAAACAGCATCTATCATTTTCCATTCAAAAGCCAACAAGATGATGATATTAAAATTTCAACTGAAACTCAACCCAGGTAACCCAACATGCAGAGCTGTTAAAAGGAAGTTTACTTTGATGAAACAAACTCCTAAGGAAGATTTCCTTACACCTTGCTTGGACAAAAATTTCTGTAGCAATGAAAAGTTCTGATTCTTAAAATTTTCCTTTTTGTTAGAAACAGGTGTTCTTGAAACTTTTCTAAATGAAGTGTAACACTGAAACGTGGCTATACAATGGTAATAACACGCTAAACACAGGGTCTCGCCCCTAGTATGCAGAACTACAACTGGACAGATAGTATCAGCGCTAGCACAACGCTTATTATTCAGAATAAATCTTTTGACAGTTAAACCTTCTAATAGATCAACACCGGCCAAAGGAGATTTTACATCAGCTCTTCCTTTCAATAAATAAATATGCGAAAGTCTGGTTCGGCTTTTGATGTGTGTTTAAACACAAAAGTTCACCAAGCAATTACTTTTAGCTACTTAAGACAGAAAGAATAATGCAAATGGTCATCTGCACATAGAAAATGTTTGCCTAGGAAAGGATTGTTTCATTATCAGGAAACAGCACAGAGCAAATTAACCAGATGATTTATTAAAAAGGAGGGAGGGGGCTTGCTTGAACTAGACAGTTATTTCATTTTAAGGACAAATCTATATTTTACAATGTGAACTACGCATTGTGGGCTTCAGCCAGTCAGTTCCTCTTAATCTTGACGTATGTCAAACCAGAGCAAACGGAAAAAAAAAGGAAAAGAAATAAAGACATTGCTTCTGTGCTTCAATGCCAGTTTCAGAACAGAATAGCGCCTTAAATATTTATTACTTTTAGCAGAAAGATATGTTAATACTGCTCTGAAGCAGATTTGTAATAGAAAGCCAAGGCCAAGAATTGTAAAATACTAGTTTTACATTACTCAGGCTCAGTTTCCAGTAATTTTTTTTCCTCTTCCTAAATCTGATTTGGGAAATTAGGTGTGTGCATCTAGAACATCTCAGATCACACACACCTGTCAGTGATCTGGATGCAGGTGGCTAGCTGATAAAGAAAAAACCAAAGACTGAGGATAAGACCTTAAGGATAAAGTACAAAGATAACAGAAACATGTGGTAACAATACAGTCGGGATGTAACAGAATCACATAAAACATTGTTAAAGTTTGCAAAAGGAAAACTTTTATAATAGTCCTGCTGTACAGAGAAAGAACAATTCTGGGCAGCAGCACAAGCTAAAATGCAAAAATATCCATGAATTCAAACCTTTTCCCTAAATAATTGCATTTCTGAGAGGATCCAGGAGACAATTTTTCAAAGTAAAATTAGTCTCTAAGAATGAGATCCTAAATATGTAGCGAACACACAAAACAGTGGGTCTTTCAAGAGTCTAGGAGGCTAAGAACCCACTAATTACAATAGGAGTGAGGCAATTATGCATTTTTTTCCAAAGTCCAGTTGCATTCCTTCTGAATCGCTAGGCCTCTAACACTTTTAAATAATCTAGCCCTCCAATTCTTACATGTCACAAGATCGCTGTTTTAAAAGGAGGATGTTCCTATGTTATCAATGAAGTGATAGAAAAAGGCACTGTAAGTAACATAATAAAAGATCCAAAGGCAGAATCAAGTGTTCCCGGCTAAATAAAGATAATCTACCCAAGCCCCCTAAACACGTCCAATGACATTTATTTGTAAAGGCGCATACCTGCATATGTTATTTTGTTGAGATTAAAACTAAATTGTAACCTTATGGTTGAACTGTATATAACAGCAACGCTATGTGATGATACAAACTGTCTGTGATTAGAGTTATGATTTCTAATACTTGAATTAATTGGATTTGTAGAGCAGAGAGGCAAGAGGAAGGGAAGCTTCAGAGTTCAAAACTGTAAGTTGTACTAGTTCGGGCTATACTTGCTCAAGCCTGTCCACAGTTTTCACAGATATCATCACTGGGTTTGCCAATATGAAAAAGCAATCATAAGATCTTCTTTTCATTTTATTCTGAATAGAAAAAAGCAACTGAAATGATTTTCTAAACTCAACATATGTCTGTCACAGCATAATTCTCCGAACCTCTCTTGTAGGTAGCTGTGTTATACCTGAAAATATAATAGAAAACTCACAATGATTCAAGCAAAAAGTAGAAAAAACAGTAACTTACAGCTGTAGGCTAAAATATATGCTTCTTTAATTTTTTTTATGAATTGATATACTGTAAGCATTGAAACAATCCGTCCAGAAAATACATGCCAAGACTTGAATATAAACTCTCAAGATGATTCTATTTTAATTACTCTTATTTTTCTGATAACTAGTTCACTAAATATATCCTTGTAACTTTTTCAAGTCCATCAAAAAGCGCTCTTCCTCCTTCCCTGATGTCTAACACAGCATCTTTAGCCCATACAAAAGACAACAGCAAACATACCTTAGGCTATTTTTCTTCCAAACTCAGGTTCATTTGCAGCTTTGGTTTTGCTTCTTATCAGAAAAGACATTTTTGCAGGCCTGAAGATTGGTAAAGCAACCTTATTGCAAAATACTGTCAGAAACACCATGCAAACAGACTGGAAGAAAAAAAGAAAAAAGTGTCTTGTAGTGATCATGCTTTCTATGAGCTCGAATGCATTTGTGAATGTTCCTACTAAACTAAACAAGGATAGTCACAGTAGTAACTGTATGTAAGACTTCACAAAACTTGCTTCACACACAATTTCTGTGCTCACATTGATTTTGAGAGAATGATCAAAATGAAAATGCTTTTAATTTTATTTTACCTCTTTTAAAAAGATAAATGTGAAATAAGAAGTTACATTTCCCGTAGCACATTAGCATATAATTTACAAATGCAGTATTAAAAAGAGCTGTACAATTAAAAATTAACTCCATCTTAAAATAACTAATAACTCAAGTATCACTAACACCTGAAAAAAACCAGACATTACAGTATGTTGTCCTTGCACCCAAACAGGGCTTGATTTTGAAATATGCATGCATGAATACGTTTACGCATATTTATATATGACTTTTTCCCCAATAGCAAAGTTTGCAGATTCAGTGACTGCAAATATAAAACCTATCTTAATTTTTCCAAACAGAGAATACACGATCACTTGCATCCGCAGCTCATGTTAGAAATACATATTCATATCAAAACTGCATAGTACAAACTATAATTATTTTGAAACCCCACTAAAAATATACACCTTAACTTATCAGCAATATTAAAGGTTGGTTAAAGATTTATTTGATATAATCTGAATTTGCTTTACTGTTGTAAGGATCATATGACTAAACCGTGAACTTTCTAACACAGAAATAAAAATAATTAATTAATTTCAACTAACATAAACAATTATAGGATAAGAAATGAGCAAAAATTGATAACTATAGGTGTCAATGGATCAAGAAAGTGGTTTTAACTTTTGCTGTCACCAGCTGATACCAAGTTTTTTATAGTGCCAAAATAGACATCCATCAGAAATTTGGCTTAGTAAATATTGTAAGAAATTTCTTTCTATAAATACTACATCTGTTTCATACAACATTTACACATCTCAATACCAAAAAACTTAACAGAATTATCTTAATTACAGTTCCAAACCAAAGAGCTGTTTAATTACTAAATTTCCTTAAAAAGTTCATTTAGACTTTTTGCATTTTTATTGTTTTTCATGATTTTGACTCACTTCCTACTTTTTATATATGCTTTCTGAATATAAATCTAGTTGTTGATTCATATAATCAAGGTAACATTTCAGATACTGTCATGGCTTCTTAAGCCTTCGCAGCTTTAACTTTCTGAGACCATCTTCAACCGCTTTTTTTCTTTTTTGGATAAGCTTCTCTGGAGACATAGACAGCAGTTTAAAACGAGATGATGAAGGCATCACAGATAATTCCTCAGTGGTTGTGTCTGGCTCATTTTTTTTTGTCTGCACTGTATTATTCCCCTCAAGAGGAGGTCTGGAGAGTTTGCTTCCCAAAATAAGTGACTCTTCATCAGCCATCGTCTTTGTCAAGTCTTGTTTAGAAAACAACCTTAAATTAAATGGGGTCTTCTCCTCCAAGAACGTACCTAAACAATCATCACTGCACTTGCTCATTTCTATACTGCTAGGAATTAAAGGAGCCTCTTCAGTACTTTTTTGTACTTTTTTGAAATGGTCAAACTTTTCTTCTGAATCACAACTCTGTTGTTGAGCCTGTGTTTTAGTCACTTTTTGACTTTGTTTTGGATCTAGCAGTGCTGACTCATAGCTACAAGGAGGGTTTTTGCTTAGAAGTCTCGTCTCTAACCACTCCGCAGAGTGAGGTTCTCGCTGGCTGCTCGCATCATCTGATTGTCTCTGATGAGCATCGTTTTCCAGCTCTAAAACACCAAGCTCCAAGTTGCTCTCAGATGTATTTATGCAATCCTTTAGCTGTCCTACGCTCCTACATTTTAATTCAGATGGAGGATTGGGAGAAGTCTGACAGTCATTCTTTCTGTTCCCTTTCTGTGAGTCCACTGAGCCAAGATACACTTTCTCAGAATCCTTGCTGGTTTGAGGTTTGCTCACGCTACTTTTCCTTGTTTTTGTCCTTTTCACACTGCAATAAAAAAGGATTTTGTATTTAATAAAAAGGAATCTTTACTGCCTCAATCTGCCACTTTTACAAACTCTCAAAGACGAGTAGAGCAACCCTCTTTCTGAATGTGGAAAAAAAAAAAAGTACATCATCTTGACAGGCAGTAATGTTTGTCTAGTGTGGATAATATCAAGTGTTATCCATCTGATTTTCCACTGCACTAGGAGAACCCAATTTATTAATGACTAAGCCATGAAGGAGTTCACATTCTATTCCAAGAGGCAGAACGGATTCATTACAGATGTTAAAGGTCAATGCTGCATAAGTACATTGAATTCCTTCCCAAACTGGCTAGATAAAATAGTGTTTCATAAGTGTCTAAGTGATTTCAAACCATTCCCATATATTCATATACATTAGGCATATCTAAAGAATAGAGGGAAGCAGGCAGGGAGATGCAGTGTGTGTGTCTGTGTGTGAGAGTTTCTAATCTCTAGTTTAGAATGTTCCTCTGGAATTTTTCCCAGGATATTTCAAAGCATTACTTTAAAGTTAACCACTACTCATCTAATATCAAGCCTGCTCATCTAAGGAGGACTGAGGTAACGCAAGGAGATGATATTTTAAAAGGAATCATAAAGGAAAATGAAATCACAAGAGTCATGATGGAATGTCAGTACATAAACACTCTTCAGCGGTGTATATTGCCTTAAATCTAAACTTCACATAGGCTGTAAGATGAACTTTACATACAAGTACGGAAGCTGCCTATGTAAGATTTAAAGTCTGAAGACTATAGTATAGCTCCTCCCATGCTGAGGCTGCTTTCCGCAGCTCTGCTGATGCCATCAGTTCCTAAGTCAGCATATCTAAATCTTCAGAAAAGGGGGAGCTTCCAAGAGCTGGCATAGTAGCTCCAAATCTAATTTCACTTCTAAAGACAGCACAGATGAGACAACGTGGGTTAAAACAAATGTTGCCAGGGTTCGCAGTAATCCCCAAATTCCACAATAAATATTTTGGGCTACTGGCAGCTCATGCAAGGAAGAAGAGCATAGTGGTACAGCAGAGGACTACTGAAACGTTCAACTGACCAACTAAACTTCCATATCCACTGCACCATATAGCTGTACAGGGCACTCTTTAGTTGTGGCCAAAGATCGTGACTAATACTCTGTACACTTAAACTCTCAAAATGAAAAAAATATATATGTATTTGCAAAGTGGTTTTTTTTTTTTTTCATATTAGATTCAAACATCACGTGTTTATTTTGGCTCAGAGCTTCATTCAAGAAAAAAAACCCTGTTTTAATTCTGCCTACTGATATGTGAGATAGCTTATGCGTGTTGCAATAGCTTTTTTCATGCCCTACAAAATAACAAAGAGCATTTTATGTGTGTATCCACAGTACAGTATCAGTCTCTTAGTAATCAAAAATAATCTTTTATATATAAGAGTTCATATTATTTGACACTTCCTTACATGGACTGGATTGTATTTACTCATATTTTGTCAGATTATAAATTTAACATCTTAGAAAAATGAGTGACATACATTTTTTTCAAGGTGTCTTGCTTTATCTGTTGAGTCAGACTAAGCTTAAGCTTTTTGTTCTCAGCAGATTCAGTAAAATATTCAGACGTCCCATTGGAAAGTTTTTCTTTCTGCTCCAAAAGAGAACACAGGTTTAAAACATGACACATTAAGCAATGATTATTCAACATAAAACTCCATTTCTAATACTAAGGCTTACAGATGTTCTTTATTATATTGATGTGAGCAGTCTAAGAGAAACAGCTAAGAACTAAATTATTTTTAATCTTACAATATCAATATCTGGGAGTCTGTAGTCAGCTTACTCCCCTTTCAGACTCGCAATGAATATATTTCATATGCTAAAATATACCGCAAACAAACAAGACTGCAATGTAAAGGATGTAGCTTTCCAAACCATCTGAGGAAACTGTTGGCAAATATTTGACATCTTTGTGGCTCAAACTGTGACAAATGCCAGGAATCTCTGTTGCAGACAGGAGCATTTTTGTCAGTTTTTTCTGAAGAGACTGACTGGCGCAGTGGTCTATACACTTATTCTCAAAAGAATTCCCATAATTTTCCATACTTACAAAAAATATACAGAGTATTACTTGCGCATTTAAGAAGGCAAGGGTTAAAAGTTTTAATACTAACATTCGGACACTCACAGCTTGTAGTGGTTGGCTACTGCAGGACAACAGGGGAATTCTTTCTAGTCTCAGCTAACAGCAGTACCATGGTTTTATATAATATGACACTGGGGAGGGGGGGAGGGAAGGAAAATGCTCTTTTTCTTCAAACTGTGAGCATTTCCTTTCACAATGAAACAATCTCAATGAGAGAAGGGCCATTTGCTGACTTCACTATTAACTACCATATACTTCAAATAAATATGATCTCTGAGGCTACGGAGAGGAGAGAAAAAATGTCGCAAAGCCAAGAAGAGAAGAAGCTTTGTGCATTTCCTTTTCTTTGACAGCATTTTTCTTCATCAGTCTGGTTGATGGAACTTCTGATTGGGGCTCATCAAACATAGGCAGTACTCATTTATACTGTTCCTCGCTTAACATTGTGAACCTAGCACACCAGAGCCAGGCAATGCAAACGAACTGAAGAAAGTCAAGAGGGACTGTGCAGGCAAAAGGCTAAAGCAAGTACATGACCACTAGCTGGAACGCAAACTCAGGAATCTTTCACTTATGGCGAATTAAACCCTGCTTATTTTTCTAAAGGAAGGGGGGTAAACCCTACTTCTCTTCACAAGAGAATGACCCAGTAAAAACAACTCCCTGTTTTGTTAAGGAGAAAGAAGGTAGTCCGGCAAAGAAATAGGGCATTCTGACAGTTTAAAAGACTGCAGATGTTTTGAGCCTCTGTTTCAGATGCAAGTTATGCAAACAGTTTTGTGTGGATTAGTAGATGCATGAAGTTGTGTGCACTACTGTTGCAATGTGTGTGTTGACAGTAGCAACACAAAACATAAAACATACATGCAATGTGATTTCAATCTCAAAAATCAAGCCTAACTAGTTTCATATGAGGGATGAATAGCTGCTTCTACTCTTGTTGGAGGTATGGACTCCCCTAACTTGACTTAATATATTTTCATATTTTTGAAAACTATTAAATGGAATAATACCATCATGATACTGAAAAGCTTTAAAAAGAGACATAGACTCTTAACTTTGAAGCCAGTAGGAACTATTATAATTTCCAGCTACACGCACACAACTTGGACTGAAGGCTCTTACACAATAATTCTGTATTGAAACAGCTGGAGAGCACGCTTATTTAGCCACAGAAAGGAACACAAGCAGAAGCATTTGCACTTTCCTTATTCTGCTTCATAGTAACTGGGAAGGCTATTTATATCAAATCTTTTCCAGTCCTCAGCTCATCAATAAGCTCATCAAGAAGGCAGAAGGTGACAGAATCACCAGTCCACTAAGGTGCTGCTTCTAGATGTGCTAAACAATGGGTGAAAAGTAATACTTTGTATAAAATCTGAGTGTGTCAATGTAGACACAGCAGGATCATGGTAAGGAACTGTCCACACGTACTCACTACTGTAGGTAAGCCATAAACCTCAGTTCTAACTTGTATCCTGTTATGAACAGGGAATGACTGTTGTGACTGTTGTCTAGAATGCACAGTCATTTTAGGGTGTGAAGAGCAGACCCCAGAGAGAGGCAAAGACAGCAAAGTCATTTCACATGTGAATCGAGTCACATTGGAAGTTTATAGTTCAGAGGTGAATGGCTAAAATATTTCACTTGCTACACCACTTGCATCTTTTATTTTGTTTTCAACTAACCTATTCCATCAGGTAGCGACAGAAAAGGGTTAAGGCATTACAAAAAAAAAAGCAAAATGATTTATATGTGAAACACTTCTGAACATGCCCTCTAAGCACAGTACATTTTCCCCTTGGAACCACACCCTGCAAGTGCTGTATTTTGAGAGCTGAACAATTAACATAAGGCATATGAGTCAGTCTTTGAAAGACTCTGTGGGAACCAGAGAGCCTTTTGCTATTACGAGTGATGTAAACTCCCCAAGGCTGGAGTAAGTCCACAATAGAAGGCAAAAAGAGTCATAAATAACAACAACGGGCACTGCTTATACTACTAAGATACTCAGCCATTATTGGTGATACTTCCTTTTTTTTCCTTCATTAAACTTAATAATTTTAGCTAATTAAAAAAAAAAACACTCTCTGTTTTGGGAATACTATTTATTTCCTATGGGAACTTCAGGACTTGTTAGAGAAAGAAAAAAAAAAGCTAATCTGCTCTCATCCTGTCTGGTAATCCCAAATTCCTTTTAGGCAGTGAAATAATTAAAGAAAAATATTCCAGGCATAAAAAGGAGGACAGCAGAAGCAGACTTCATATAAACAATGACACCATGACAGAGAAAAACGTCAAAGCGCCGCCAGACTTGCGATTTGACTCTGTAAGAGCTGCAGGGAGTAGGATTGCTGCTAACAAATTAAAACCACATTTCTTGGCAAATTGTTAAAGACAGACATATTTACATTTGTATAGAGACTGGGTGGGCACAAAAGATTAAAATGGTTTTTTAGCCCTTGAACTGCCAAGTTCTATTAGAAATCTGTGCTCTGAAAATCCTAGGGTAAGCTCAATCCTTTCTGTCACTAAAAATCAACAGAGAAGGGCCTGCAGAAATAAGGCTTACAAAGAAAGAGGAGATACTATCCTATCTGCTCATAATACTTGCTTCACAGAACCTGATTTGCAGCTCCTTAGTAGTTATTCCAACAGAGGTCTGGGCATCAGGATGAAAAAAGCCCTCTCCATTAAGACCTAAGTAGAAACTTGACTGTTAGGCACACAGTATACTTGCTTTAAGGCTTATCAAATTACAAATTTGTTCTTTTACTATCTGGACTCAAAGTGAAAAAGAATCCCTCAAAAATCTCAAAAAGAGTGGTGATTGCCAGCTGCACCTCTCTCCAGGAGAGCCTAGTTTAGCAATGCAGTATTAAATACCTGTAGAAGTACTACTTAGGGATGTGCACTTGTGAAGAATCCTTACAACTAATCATCTTGAAGAAGATTGAAAGCTTTGGCCTCTTCAGAGATCAACTTGACAATACTGCTCATACAAATACTGAAATCTTTTTCAGGTCTAATGTTGGGGTGATCGGGCTGAAAAGAAAATTTCCTAAGTGAATAATGCTGCCCCCGTCCCTCTTCTTTGGTTTCATATTTTCTAGTTGCCTATGACTATGGCCTGGATACACATGGTTGTGTACCAATAAAATAAATAACTGTAAGAGATAATTAAGTTTCATGCCTGATTTAAAAAAAACATGTTGCTTTTGAATTGCACTTATCAACGTGGCTTCACTCGTTCATCAAACAACAATCTTAATAGAAAACATCAGTGGGTTTAATAAATCAAATTTAGTATCAGAGTGGCATATGGGAGTCCCCACTGAGACTTCACATAGCTTATGTAGTGAGGCAGTCCTTAACATCCAAATTCCTAGACTCTGAATATAATCATGCACATGAAGCAATGGGCTAAAGTATTATCCCGGTTACATAACTGAATAAAACTAAAACTAGTAAAAGGAATCAGAGGGAAGTAGTTATTCTTGGGAGCTTTATCTGAGCTTGTATTTGCATGATGTCTCTTAATGCCACCCTAGCGATACCATGAGCTCAACCATATGAGCTTTCAAGTTTCACAAAGGTTCTAATAGATGACTGGCAGAGCAAAGAGGTCATATAGGACTCTTTCCAATCTGATAAATATCAAAAGGCTCCTAAAGTAGGCCTGAGAATGAAGGATGAACCAGATCCAACTGACAGAAAACTCAACAGGCATAGGACGTTGGGTCTAGTCTTCTAGTTAACCCCACAAGAAGGAAAATCTTCCCCTAATGTCTCCTTTCACGACTCCTACATGACTCAAACTTTTTAGTGTTTTCAATGTAGTATGCATCTCTCCGAGGGATTCTACTTATGAGCTCCTACCATACCATAAATCATTCACAGAAATGTTCGAAGTACAGAAATGAGTATTCTTCTTAATCTGAAATATCATTCAAAGGTTGGTCTTGCAGAATTTTGCTTTTCCTTTTTGAAGTGGACTGTCCCATTCTACAGGTCAATAATTTGCAACAGAAAACAGTAAGGATCACATTCCATGTTACGAATGGGAGTACTGATTTCCAGATCGGAAATAGGTATTTTTAAGAAAATGGGGGTAGTTTTGAAATACATTCTTTTGACAAGATTGAAACTTGAATATCAAACAGAGGAAGCCACATGTCTCCTGCAACAAGCAGAACAGCATGACCTATTAGTGGCATAACACAGAAAGCTCCTGAACTTCTGAATCAGATCACTATCTACTACCAAAATTCACTTTCAGTCGACACTATGAATCTTAACTACTAAGTTTTTGCTTATCAAGAGTCCCTGCAGTCTGCACTATTTAATCTCAGGCAATTCTGACAGACTCACTGAGGTCTCATAGTCAGTTGGTTCTTAAATGTTTAAAGAAAACTGACAACCAGGAAAAGGAAAGATCCCTTATAAATGTCTCCCCAGAGGGCGAGGCAGAGCTAGCTCAGTCGCTGTAGCTATTCAGCTTG